TCTGACATATTGTGTGTGTGCAGCAGTAGATAACACTACAATTAAAATAACATGCACTGATATCAAAGGTCTCAGCAATAAAATAAAAATGAACTGAGTCATAAACTGACAGAATGGTCAGAATCCTCACATGATGCTACACTGTTTCCTCTTCAACTTATCCTTTTCTTTTTTCTGCTTTTTCATCAAGTTCTTCATTTCTTTTGTCATTTCATCACTGCTGCTCTGTTGCTGCTTTCTGTTCCTCTCTCTTTCTTCTTCACTTTTGGCTTTTTCCTTCTCCATTTCAGCGGTTTGTGCATCTATTTTTTGTTTCATCTCTCTCATTTCTTCCTCATGTTTTCTTTCAAGCTGTTTCTCCCTCTCTTTCATCTCTTTCATCATCTTGTCAACACGTTTTTCAACCCATGTCCCTGTTGTGTAGCAGCTGCCACCATTTCTTCTCACCATGTTGTCAATCTTCTCTATCAGCTCTTTGACTTGTCTGAGGTTTGTCTGATCATTATTATTGAAGACGTGATATCTGCCTCCGCACTCATCGATCAGGTTTCTGACGTAGTCATCAAAATCCTTCATGTAACTTTCAATTGACTGATTTTTCAGTTCATCTCCTCTGGTGAACAGAACAATGATGTAATCTTCTGGATTGTCACCAAAAATCTCCCTGATCAGATTAACTGTTTCTTCTTCCTCCTCCGTGAATCTTCCGATCTGCAGCACCAGTAAGATCACATGAGGTCCAGGAGACAACAAGCTGGCGCCTTTTAGAATCTCGTTTTTAATTTCATCATTGGACAGAGACGAGTCGAACAAACCTGGAGTGTCAACCACAACAACAGGTCGACCATCGATCTGTCCTGTTTCTCTCTTGCAAGCTTTTGTCACTGATTTGGGAGAAACTTTTGATTCAAAAACATTTTGTCTCAGGATGGTGTTTCCAGCAGCACTCTTCCCAGAGCCAGTCTTTCCAACCAGCACCATCCTGAGAGGCTCTCTGCTCTGACCCTTATCTCTCTGGTCTGTAATGAACATGTCCTCAGTGAAACATCTGGATCCTTCATCTGACATCTGGTCCACTTGATCCAGCAGCTCAGCTTTAAGTCCTGCAATAATGTTTTTCTGCTCTACAAGCTTCTTCATCTGAGCCTCAGTGAACATGTCCTTAGTGAAACATCTGGATCCTTCATCTGACATCTGGTCCACGTGATCCAGCAGCTCTGGGATCTGCTGCTTGTCCTTCATGTTGACAACAACAGATCTTCCTCCACAGCTCTGACAGAGCTCCTGGATGTCTCTGTTC